GGGAAATATGTTCATATTTCTTTTAACCATGTGATGAATGGGAGGACAGCCATTTTTTTGGTGTTCTTTTTCCATCAGCCTTCTTGGCAGACTTGGATCTGATAGCTAAGCTGCTTATTGAACAACTAAAGGTTTTTAAGAAGGCAAAGCATCGTTAAAGGAGAGCCATCTAAGTAGCCCTGTTTAGCTCATGGTTTCCTTTTGCCTGTAGAGGGAAGTTTTTTAAGAAATGTTCTTCATGCCTTAATCCTTCTCTTTGTTTCCCCCTCCCCAGTCTATTGGGCCATTTCTGTTTCTGGCATTCAAACATGATCGGGTCACACCAGGGCTTCAGGAGTCTGCATGTCATTTGGCTGGTGAAACATGACTGTCTGACTGTCCCAAGCTGGCTGGAAGTGCATAAAGGGGTAGAGGAAGGAGTTGAGCAGGGGATTGCTCCCTGTGGCGTAGGTGGTGTGCTGTAACACGTTTGTATGTACAAACCCATGCAGTATTTTTCACCAAAAGCATAGAAACCTAAAATAGATACAAAACCGCCCAGGAAAGCACAAAACCTCCTGCAAGCCAACTTCCAGAAGCATTTTCAGCCAGCATTTAGGATGGTAATGGTGCTTCACACCTCACAGATCCTTCAGTGTTTGTCTTTGCATGAGGAGTCTCTGTTTTGACTGAAGCTGGATTGTCTGTTACACTCTTGTCACTGTTCAAGCACCATTTACTTAAAATGGAGTGGCGAGCCCTCAGAAAATTATGTGCTGTTCAACTACCTAATTTGACCATAAATGCATTTGTTACAAAGTCACAAAGGGTTCATATAACTCCTTATTCCCAACATACCAGCATTGTGGCTTTGAAGTCAATGACTATATGAAGTAGTCTTGAGTGGCTTCCTCACATCCGTTCCTCACACCTGCCAAAGGTAGGACCAGCAGTCCTCATGCTACTTTAATCATGTCCCATTTTGTTGCAGTATTACGTATGTGCCAGCAGAAAATTTAGACGAGTACAGGGCCAGTTTGGGACAACAGACAGAGGGAGCTGTGCCACTTGAACTTTTTCCTTCACATACTGTCAGGTGAGTCAAAAGACTTACTTTTTTCTCCTGTGGGGCTCTCTGATGTAACTCTTTCCATACACTTGGCACAGTTCAGGAAGATAACTTTTATTTTAGAAGAGCTGAAAGATGGATGATTTTCTTCAGACCAGCAGCCATGACACTAAAAAGCTGTTCAGAGTACAATTTTTGCTTTGGCTAGCAAGTTTTTCCAACATTTTTACAAGGCTGTTTTATAGGTGTTTGATCTACCCAAAAAGGAGATTGAATACTGCCTCATCCTAAACTTCCCTTAAATACCATGCAATTTAATTTATGTATCGCCACAAATAGTGCTTCCAACATGAGAATTTGGCATTGGTGGTCTTTCCAGAATGTATACTGGAAAGAATGAATTGTGCTGTCATTTTCTCTGAGTTTCAAACATTCATTACAGTTACAGGCCAAAATATTCAAAGTGACAAATAATTTTTGTTTTCTTGAAATTAATCTCCAAAAGCAATAACTTTTTGAACACTGCTGTTGTAATTTCTTCCATTTTGGAAACAATAAGTAATTACCTTCAGCTTTGATTTGGTTCTAGTTCCAAAATGCAGAGTCTTTTATTCTGTCGTTGTTGCTTGATAGCAACTTAATTGTGGAGACAAGTGGACAGGGAATCCCCAAACACAATATGTATTCTAACAGACATCTGAAAAAGAAGTTCCTTACACGAATCCTGTGTACAAATTCTAATGCTGGCAAGGTGATCCAATACGTGAAATTTTGCAGTGAAATCCAGGGATTATGTGGGTTCTTCAATAATGAATTGCATGTTCCTGTTCATCAGCAGGGAACTCCCAGAGCTTCCAGAACGTGAAGAGGGGGAGGGAGAAGAAAGTGAACTTCAAAATGCAGCTTTCAGTAACTGGAACCAGCCCAGAAAGTAAGTGCAGATCTAGTTGCACAGTATAAAATCTCATCTGAAATTCAAAAATTTTGAAACCGGTAATATATTTTAAGAGAAATAAGAAAACTACAGAATTGCTGCACTTACGTATATTATGCATTGCTGGAGTAATTCACTGTTGGTTTTTACTGCCATTGGGCTAAATCCCTGCAATCTAGCAGTTTCTTCGTTGCTTTAGTAATTTATCTTTGTAGACTGACTCTCTGGGAGTCAGCAAGAAGAGATGAAGAGAAGGATTCAAAGTTTTGATTAGAATCCAAAATAAAGTGAACAACAGTAGACACAATTACAGACCTTCTGAACAATTCAGTAGATAACTCCCACTGAAAGACAAAACTTTCCAAGGGGGAGTTATTTCTGAATGTTTTTAAACCATTGTGCAAATCAAGGTGTATTCAGTGTGCAGCACTGTCATAATCACAACAGATTTTCATTTACTTTGGTCCTTGTTTTGTCATAACAGGGTTGAACTCTGGAGAGAGCCTAGCAAGTCACTGGGGATCAGCATTGTTGGAGGACGAGGAATGGGGAGCCGCCTGAGTAATGGAGAAGTGATGAGAGGGATCTTTATCAAGCACATCCTGGAAGACAGCCCAGCCGGCAAAAATGGAACGCTGAAAACTGGAGATCGGATTGTGGAGGTACTAGCCGAGTGCCTTTTGCTTGCAATACCCCCAGCATCTCAGGAGCTGCTGAGATGGATGTGTGGTTCTGGGCTGACAGCTGTGTAACTGCTCCAGCTGGCACCACTTGAGCCATACAGAGTGTAGTACCATCTGCTGATGTTTGTGTGCGGACAGCTTTAAGTTGAATATACAACCTAAAGCATTGATGACTGACTGTGTGAGCAGGGGTCTACAAAGCCAGTAGTTCTACCTGCCTGTTTTAAAGCCAGCATGTATAGGAAAAAGCTTAAGTTTGGAGAAGCTAAAAGCTTTTACCTTTGCATATTGGATAGCCACAGAAATGGCCAGTGAATAGCAAATCATGCAAATAAATGCCAAGCTTATTTCCCTCTTAAATCTTGCACAAGAATGATGTGATCTGGTTATCTTGTGCAGGAATTAAGGGAGACACATTTTTTTTCCTGCTGACATGAAGAAAGCTCTATTTGATACAAAAGAAGTTCAGAGCATTGTGCCCATGCCTGAGGATAGGGTAGCCAGTGGTGTTACAGGGAAGAATTTACCTAGATTTCTCTTCTGCTTAGCCAATCCTGTGCTCACGCAGCCACTTCTGCTTTCTCACTTAAAGATACTGAAGAATGAACATTCTGAAAGGAATGTGTCTTTCTTGTGATGATGATCAGTAAGTCAGACATTATCCCGTCTCCAGTGTCAGGCCATTAGGAACTGCACTCCTCTTCACCCTGCTGGATGTCCTTAGCTGACTGTCCATCAGTAAGAACGTAACAGGCAGGGTGATGGTGATGCTTCCCCTGGATCATACTGGGCTTGCTTTACATGGTGATACTTAAACTGCAGTTTACCATCTGCTACAAGATCCATATAAAGGATCTTGAATTAATACCTTAATATAGGTAGCACTTTCTACAACAGGATTGAAGAGTTTCCAGTGTATAACAAGTTGGGAGGTGGAATTTTGCTTGATGGCCACAAAGTTAAAAAACATTCATTGTATCTGAATACCTGGATTTTTATGAATGCAGCAATTGTCTCTGACAATGATGCTTGCAGAAGTTGAAATGGGTGAGTGAAATAAAGTAATTAATGTTGTGTTAATGTGATTGTTTCTGAATGGATTATTTCAGTTTCTTAAGTTGTGGCATATCTAGGCTTTTCTCTCTACTAGTGTATACAGTATTTCAGACATGGGGAGTCGCAGAGCCTTAGTGTTATTGTTCAGTTCCTCATAGGTATAGAATTTTCTCTCTCAGATTGTTTTCGTTCTATATTTACATTGGATGGTTAAGTTTAGGGTAGAGTTAGACAGTTAAAAAGGTAGGGGTAATCCTCATTATATAACTTCGTGTGCAAGAATTGCCACTAACAAATAACCTTTCTGTGTTAGCTTCTAGCTTTTATTGTGGTCATTGTGAGAATGCTTTACTGATGCTAACCTCACCATAACATGGTTCTTACTTGGATCGCAAGACAAACCATTTTACACACCAATACATACGAAAGCATGAAGAAAAGCAACCAGGCAAAAATTTGTCCTTAGCCATCCTTTGTAAATGCTTTCTTCTAGAAGAGAGAAAACTTTTCAGCTCTGATGTAAAAATTTAACTTCTGGGGAAAGCGTCTAGTAGCTAAAATTGGTCTAATCTTGCTTTAAAAAAAAAAAAGAAAAGAAAGGAAAAAAAAGTACACTGTACTGACATAATACCCCATAATGAAAGCCCCTCCAGCACCTACAAGGTTCAGTTTGTAAATCTCATAAAGTCCTGGGAGGTAGGTTATTCCGAGATAGGATTTACAGGAAGCGGTATTTGGCAAATGCTACCACTCTCTTCAGATTACCTTATCTCTTCTTATTATCATATCTCTTCTATTATATTGCCTGTGGGAAAACATATGGAGCCTGAACCAATAATGTTGAAAAACATGTTTTCAAACCTATGAGAGAATGTTTATTTGATGTCCTTTCAGTGCTCTTGGAAATCTCAAACCTGTGTGTGAGGGACCTCAGGCCAAGTCAGTAGAAACCTTTCCACCAGTAACGGAGGTTTGGGCTTAGGTTTTAGTAAAAGTTCCCTAACCAAAACCCAAAGCTTACTCATGATTCTTGTAGCTTCTTGCCATGTTAAGATGAGGCCTTCCAATTACAGGTGGATGGAATTGACCTCAGAGATGCCAGCCACGAACAAGCTGTGGAAGCCATACGGAAGGCAGGCAATCCTGTAGTCTTTATGGTACAGAGCATTATAAGCAGACCAAGGGTAAGCATAAAGAATATGAAAAGAGATGTAATACATAGTAATAGATGAAACAAATGTTCAAGGTGTTGGTGTTTGGGAATGGGATATTTAATCCTGAAAGTTCCATCTCAGCTATTTTAGGAACAAAGATTTGATTTAAGTATTATTTCCATTTAGAATGAAATCGATTTGGATTTGGAATTACCCTCCAGCACGCCGTCCTCAAACTATTTTGAAAAGCCTCAAGAAAGATAATTTGTTGGGGGGCAGAGTAGGAGTCTTAAGTAAAACCAACTCTTAGAGATTGACAGCATGTCTGAGGAGCGCATGCAGAAACACAGCACTTGTTAAAAAATTCATTGGACATTAATGAAAGGACCTAGAAGTACGTGGAAGTTTTCCGTCACTAAGCTGCATGGACATTGCAGACAAAAGCTACTGAGGTTTAATATATGTTGCTTGCATCACTAGAAACTAAACTTCCTCATTGTAGAGTCTGTGTAAGCTGCATGTTTATTTACTAGTTGTCTCATAACTCTTGTTCCCCAGCCAGAGTCTCTTTATAGCCCTTCTTCAGCTTCTGCTCCCTGTGGGCAGAAAACTACTAACCCATTTTACCGTCAGTCATCTAAGGTAAAGTTGCATGAAAAAGCTCTATTGAATGTTGGTTATTCGTATTCAAGATACTAAAGTAAGGCTTTTGCATTTGCTATGATGTGAACAAAATTGCCACTGCTGAATGTTTAGGTCAATTTGGGATGGGAATGATGCCATTACTTTATCACAACTTACTTTTATTTAGAGAATGCTCCTTTGCTATTTTTAATTGTAGTTCTTTGTTCTCTTTAGTTTCCAATTATTAAGCTTGTTGATTATTTCTTGACTGTTTATTAACAAACCCTTGTTTCTCTGTAAGCAGAAACATTGCAAATGCTCTTACTGTACACATGCTTTGTGTTGTGATCTTTGTAAATGGCATTATATTTATTGTCTTCATCTTTTGAAACTTGCATCTGTACTTTATAATAAGATCTTCTAAGGGAATTTCCTGCCTTCATTCATGTGCAGTCACCCAGATAGCTAGCTGCCTGCACACAGTAGCTATATTTAATACGATAGGGCTGTGTATTTAGCAAGGTAGTTTCAAATGACTTGTTGCTAATGAGTCAGTTTCTTCCCTTTTGTTTTCTTCATTCAGGCTGCTGTAGTAGTTAAAGAGGTCCTAAGTGTACTCCAGAATAGCCCAAATAATGCAAATGGACTGTGAAAGGCTAGTTGATAGTTTTGCTAGCAAGCAGTTATCTATCAAATCTGTGTTTCCTGCTCTGGGTATTTCTGAGTAAGAATTAATCTATCACCATGGTTGTGGTCCCAGACAATTTGTAGGATTACAGCATTATGCTATAGGAAATGCTAGCTAGTTTCTGATGCCTTAGCATCCTGGACACATTAATAAAATGCTGAACACAAGTTAGTTGAAAAAAAGAAAAAAAACAAAGAAGGTAAAATAAATCCTGTTATTCTACATTTTATTTTGAAAAAAAAACAGTAAAAGGAAAAATACCCTTTATTTTAGCATTTGCTTTTCTTGTCCTAGGCTGTGCAAGAACATATGCTTCAGGCACGCTGGTTAAAACCTAACTGTTTAGGCAAACTCAAATGTTCCATATTTTATCACGGTAGTCAGTCCATATTAATACAATGCTGTTGCATGGATTAGAACTTGAGCTAGCAGTAGTATTTTAGGTGCTATGCCATCATGACAAAATACAAAAGGCAAGATTTTGAATTACGGTGGCTGATCTCTTATTTTCTCTTTTACTAGGATTTCACTGTTTATATACAAAATGTTTGTGATGCTTATTTTAGTTGCTTAAAATTTCATCAAGATACGATTTAAAACTTTATGCAGATGACAAATGTAATTGTTAAAGTGTAATAGGATCATTACACTGGCAAATTACTTTTCCCAAACTTCTCAAGACAGAATCAAATATGAACCGCATGTGTAAACAGAAAATCTTGTTGTACTGTAGGGAAACTGACTGTTGACTTTGAGTGACTCGCCAGTGAAGAAACCTTGTTCATGCACAGCTCTACTTTCTCATTACTGAAGATACTGTGGAACCAAGACATATGTTGTCTTACCAAATTACATTACATTTTGTTTTGCAAAATGATATTTGAGAATAAACGTTTAGGGATGCATTTTGTATTTTCAGGAGCATTTAAAAAACCAAAATGCTCTAAGAAAATTTTTAAACAGCAACGTATATCTGGATTAAATTACCGTGATATAAATGTATCAATTGATGCTGCAACCTTTCACATTCCTTTCCACTTATCATGCTGCTTATTTTCCAGCAGTGTTAAACTTACAGCCTTAAGACATTTAGGCAATTGCCAGATGGATACGCCTAGTGTAGAAATTACTGTTAAGTATACGTTGAACAGTATTTCCAGCATACTATGCAAAATGAGAGCTGTCCCCTCTTTATTAAACAGGTTCTGATCTCAAAATAGAGTGCAGTACAAAAATTGCGTAAGGAATATAAATGGTCAAATTACATCCTTTAATTTTGTCTAAATATGAAAACTCTTTTTGTGTTAAATAATAATAAAGAAGTACCTTGCATTGTTTAAGGAGAAGACCAGAGAATTTAGTTTCATTAAACTATAAATTCAGAAAATTATCAATGCATGCACACACAAAGTGATCTGTAAAAGTTATTACTAGATATTAAGTCTGTTTAGAGACGCCTAATATTACTAAACCTTCTCTTTGCGAAATACACAGTGTGTTACCACAAGAGGTAAATCAAATTATGAGAATTAATCTGTGGTTTTCAAAATATAACTAAACGTGCTGCATTATTACAAAGATTTGTGTTTATTCTAATCCAGAAATCCGCAGTTTTATAATTAACTGTGTAAGAGTATCCCAAATGCTGAGATGCTTAGACGAAATTGTACAAATAGCACAGCAAGTAAATTTTCTGTTGTTCATGCTGCTGAATTCTGCACTTTATGCACTTTGTGGGGTAGAACAGATATGAGGATCGGTGCTTTTCCTCTACGCTCTGCTAAACATAGCTGATGATACAAACATGGGACAAATACAGTTTTGCTTACCTTCCCATGTCTGTAGCAAAGTGCAGGAAGCGGACCTTGCTTGGTTAGCACAAACTGCTACATAAATATGTTTTGTTTCATGAGTCACAAAGGGTTAATTTAAAAATGTTTTTGCTTAGTTTCTATTATGTTTTCCTCTTAGAACCCTTCCCTGCCTTTCCCGCAGAACAGTCTTTTCTGTAGGCCAGCTGTCTTCAGCAGCACTAACCCATTTGCTGATTCTTCTCAGTTCAACACAAACAAGGTTGGATGATGACACACTGTCTGCTTTTGACTCACCAAACATTATATGTATGCTTCTTTGCCATTAGTGTCTCTCTGCATTTAAATTCTTTTATGCCAATTTGGGTAAAATATTGTGCTGATGAGAGTGGAAATTCTGTGTAGTGAATTAAAAAGACACAGACATGCGTGCACATAGAAAAGTTTTGAAGAAGTTAAAAAATGCCAGCTCCATTAATCATAACCACTAAATCTGATCTAATCAGAGCTGCCAAAGAGTAGGTTCTCAATTATAAAATCAGTCCCTGTGGTGTATGTTAAAATATCTGCCTGAGTGTAACTCTCTCATCAGCATGAGGTGTTTTGCTGCTATGAACTTCATTTTATGTGGTTAGGACTTTCCAGCTTTGATAGCTCTTTTTTCTTTTTGCATGAAAAAAAACATTGGCAGCTTTCATTTTATGATGCTGAAAATATTTTCCCTCTGCTTCTTGGAAGTTCTTTTAATACACCATGAAGATGATGCTGACATCTTTGGAAATATGAAAAAAGTTAGATTCTGTTTTTTGTGGTTAGTGCTTACTGCATGTTATTCATATTGGGAACAGAGTTAACCTCTAACACAATAATAAATAAAGGCTTAATTCTTATGTGCATGCATTTCTGATTTAATAAAATAATTTCTAACTACATCTTGGGAGTGATTGTGCCCTTTATCTATTTTCCTATGTTGTCAAATGTATCGAATGTACAACGAACATTTATGATATGATATGTGGTGTACAATTGCATGTGTGTTTTTGAAATCTCTTTGTGTTTGTTACAGTTCTGAGGAAAGGGAGTAGAAGCATAACATAAATGATGGCTTGTATTGTCTATATTTTCAAAAGTATTTCTGGAAAAAAATTGCACGTATTTTTAGAGAAAACCTAATGTTTTTGCAGTTTCTGCATAATTCCTTTTTTAACATTGAGGTAAGAATAGCCTCTTGTCATCTCTGTCCACTTCTGCTGAACTAAGGTTCATGTACAGTAAGAAACTTTGCTGAATCAGGGTCCTTAATAACCCCTTAAATACTTTTGTCCATTTATAAATGGAGTTAATGAAGTTGCTGTGGTTAGTAAAATGAATCCATAATTGAAAATTAGTTATTCATTAATAATGCTGTGTGTTGCCCAAGGTGCTGTAACATGTGGATTGCTGTTTTCTGTTACTGTAGGAGGTATCGAATCCAATTAGGGTTACCTTCCGTTGTTCCCCAACTAACCCTTTTGCTCCCACACCATTCAAGGTTTGTCTTGATTCCAGTGATTGGGTCCTACCGTATGTGTGCTGTACGTTTGTACATGGCCTGTGATACCTTCCAGAGTACTGCTTCTTCCTCTGCGTGTGCCTCCTTTGTTGAAAGTGATACTGCTCCAAACTTGCTGCCATTTTTAATGTTTGCTTGGCTGTGATCAGAGTGACCCTGGTAGCCAAATGGGTTCATGCACTGTCTGATGCTTTGCATTTTAAATGAAATACTGTGCTGTGGCACACTGAAAGTATTTCATGAGTTAAAGCATTTTAGGTTTTTTGTGTGTGGCCCGATTCAGGGAGCAAAAGTCTTATGTGTGTGTAAACAGCGGGGGCCAGCTTCTGCTGCTGGCGGTGCCTGCATGGCAGGCTGAGTTCTGGAGGCAGGACATGGTCCCCTCCACTCAAATGGCACTGTAACACCCTTTTTACCCTTCTTACAAAAGAGCCTTGCTTTTACTTTCGTTTCAGCATTTCCTTAAACATCAGACACGTTCAGGTTTATGTATGCGGGCACAGAGGTACAGAAAGAAGCATTTTTTTGTCAATCAGATTATGGTGGCTGCGGTTCATAAGTGCTAATCTGTCAGGATGTAGCCATACATCCACACCTTACATATCTTCCAGAGGTCCTTGACAGCAATTTTTTGTGCTTTTTTTTGGTCATGTTTTCTGTAATTTTGCAAAGTTCTTGGACACTGTCATTTACCAAGAGTTACCACTAAAGTGATATGTTAATTTTGGTTTTAAAACACAGAGACTACTGTAAGGTCTGCTGATCTGGTCTGCTCTCACACTGTATTTCCTCATTTTTTCAGTATGTTATGTAGCTTTCTAGGAAGCACTCTGAAAAATTAGTGTTTCTAGAACTACTCTCCCTTTCACGCCTCCTTGAGGTAGAGGTCTGTCACCAACTTTTCTCCGTGGTGGATACATGAATTTTTGATTATGAAAAATCACTTTGAATGTTACTAAGTAGTGTTTCCACCCTACTCTGATTCTGATGGGTAATAATGTCTTTGCTAGAATTTTGCTGCTTCAGTTGAGGTTTATGCCTGCCCTGTAACTACTAGCATGTTTTAGAGTGTAATTTGCATAAACTGTAAATAATTCCTACGTGAAGTTTAGTGACGCAAGGTATCATCTCAGCAGGATGGCATTGTCTTAGATTTGAAGCACAGATCAATGTGACTGATATAATGATACAAAAAATCAATGGCATTTATATGGCATTTTTTATACAAATGATTGGCTTGGGTGCCATATTAAAACTTCCCACACTTCTGACATTTAATGACTTCTTCGTTAACCTCCTAGAACAAGTTACTGAATGAAAGGAAAATCTTCAAGCAGAAGCAGAATGAGGGAACTGAAATAGGGCATTTGCGCTTTCTTTAAATCTTTCAAGTATACAGATAATGAAGGTAACTCATTTTCCCTGAGAGATGGGACCTTCCTTAAATCTCAGTATGACTAAATTGGTAACTTCCTAGTTTTTTTCAATACCTTCAATTTAAAGCAGATTGAAGTCTTCCAAGGTGTATGTTGTTATCCATTTCACTGTTGCCTCTGATGGAAGAAATTGTCTCAGTGTTTTTGGCACCCAGAGGCACCGAGATACTGTGTTCAAACTTTTGCTAATGGAGGTAATGAAAGCTGAAATGATGAGAACAGGGCTATGAAGCTAGGGCAACACCTGAAAATCCCAGTGTTGAAAAAATTCTTGGTTTTCATCTAAAATTTTTATTGTTTATATCAACAGCTGATCTGCCAAGTATAAAAGTCTCTTGGGCACGCACAAGCTTCAGAATGATGATATTCAGACACGAGTTTCTTGCCTACAGGTTTACTCTGAGCAAGCCAAAATGATATAAATTACAAACACTTAGCCAAATCCCTGATCAGGGTCCATATTTCTCGGGGAAACTAACTTGAGTGGAGGCTTGCCAGATTGTGGATTTGGGCATTTAACCATTATATTGCAGTAGTCGTGTGTTTATACGTTTAGCTTTTTGTGAATATGAGTAGACCTCATACATCAAGATCAAAAGTATTTTTCTCCTTTGTGATTTAATCTGTATCCTCCTTTATTTGATCTCCCCTGTGCAGTTTATAGGAAACCAGTAAATAAGACTGAAGAAGTCCAGTTACTGTGGATTTCTTCAGTTATCGTCTGTTTCATTTTGTTTTTAAATTGTCCTTTTTAACTTTCAGTTTATTAACTTTCAGTTAATATGCCAGTTACTTTCTTTTTTCTGGAGGCATTTTTGAAAGCACCAAGTTCTTTGTGTCCTTTCCCTTTCCTGCTATTTGGCTTCCAAAGCATATCATAGGAAGAAATTATATGCGGTGGCTTTTAAAAATAAAACGAAGTAGAAGTCTTTTACAAATACGGCATTAAAAAAAAAGTCACTTGAGTCTTCGTAAGAGACTTTTTCTGAAATGTGAAGTGGCACATAAAACTTTACTGAATTGGGCTTTTATTGTGAGTTCTGTTTGCTTCCGAATACATTTTGGAGTGATGTTATCTCTTACCTTGCCTGGTGTTCGTTTCTATCTTTGATCTCTTGCAGCCTTTCTGTGCCGTGTTACTCATTTAGAATTCCAGCTGCTTGGTATTTAAACTTCAAAGCCATAGCCATTGCCGTTTCAACATTTTTGTATACTAGTTTGCCTTACACAGAGTCTGCATCTGCTTAGCCACTGCATTTTTCTTATTCTCCACAGGCATTCAGTCAGTCCGATTTAGAGCCAGAAAAGACTTCGCTTTGTAACTTGCCTCTGCCCCCTCCTTCAGCATTTTCAGGAATGAGCTGTGATGTTGCACAGTCATCTTTTAGCAGAGTCCCAGAGGATGTGGAGAAGGAGGATGAGTTCGGTTACAGCTGGAGTAAGTTTATCCTTTGTGATAATGTTTGAAATATTCAGTGTTGAAATAGCACTGTAGCAGAAGATATGGGGGGTCCAGTTTGAACTACTTCATTCTCATGTGCCTCGTGGTTTGGTGTTAAGTGTTCCTGTCAGCTTTCAGCTGTGCTTGGTCAGATGCACATGGTGAAATATAAAACTAATTTGTTCTTCTTCACTGCACTGCAATCTCTGTTTTCCTCTGTGGTCCAGATTCACTGTTTCACATGTAGGACTACTTGAAGAATTTAAGGGTACTCTAGGTAACTGATGGCAGTGATTGATGTGATAGCTTCTGTTACCTGACAGTGTTACTGGAGGGAAGATTATTGCTTTTATGTGTGAAAAGTCTTTTTTTAAGAGAAGTTTTAAAGTTTTCTGAAGTTAGAAGGAAAACAAGGAACTAGAAATACTATTATAAATCACCTAAGACTTAGCTTAAAAGAAAGTGTGGTGTACACTTTAAAATTTTCTCATCCCGTTTGGGATTCTTATGTCAGATACTGCCCACTGGACACTGATCTTGAGTCTCTAGGTGACTTGTGAAACTTTCTAATGTAAATCCAACCTCTGCTGTCCACACTTCTACATTTAGAAAAGATCGTGCAACGCTATGGAAATCTACTGGGGGAGCTACACATGATTGAGCTGGAAAAAGGAAGGACAGGTCTGGGACTTAGCCTTGCTGGTAACAAAGACCGATCCAGGATGAGTGTCTTTATAGTGGGAATTGATCCAAATGGAGCAGCTGGCAAAGATGGCAGGTTACAGATTGCAGATGAATTACTGGAGGTGAGTTTTTGCAATTTATACTGAAACCTGAACATACTGACTTAAAATGCACTAAAATATTAGATTCTTGCTGCAATGTAGATGTTCTTCAATGGACTTTGAAATCCCCAAGTTATCCAAGTTGACATCATTGTGCTACCAGATTTTCTTTCTGGTGTATGCCAAATAGTCACAGCTGGGATTTTTTTTCCTGGTTATAGTAGTACTGAGTAAATGTGTGTGTGTATTTCAAATGGATAAAAATGGGGGATGACAGCAGTTTCTGGGTTACAGAGATGTATGGAAGGGCAATGCATTGCAGACCATGGAAAATATTGAAGTCCTTTAGTCCATCCATCTGTGGAGTGCTCCAGACTTTCTAATTACTTCTCTGTCTACTGGAAGTGTGATAATATCAGAATATTTTTAGGTTATGTAACATCTAAAATGGAAATTGAATTGGGGAAACAGGAACAGGTCCATTTGTATTGTGGACTTTTATCTCATGACACATTCGGGCTGTTTACTAGTGGCTTTGTGGAGGGACCCAACTGCTGAATGTGCAGCTAACATTCCCAGTATGTATATGAGCTTAAGGTATATTTTTGTATTACCGCAGTTCATTTGATGATACTTGCAGATGTATTCTCTGTTGTAGCTTTTCCCATTCTTTCTGATAACAGTAGGTAACATTATCCTCACAGAAATGCTTTGTGTAACTTCAAAACTATGTGGAGGTGTTTGAGGATGCACTGGGGAGATGGTAGAGGGAGGGAATGGTCAAACTGAACAAAACTTGAGGGAGAAGTTAGAGATTAAACTATGTAGGCTGGCAGTTGCAGGCTAGGAGAGAAACTAAGGGATTTGTGGCACTGTGGACGTAGTCTCATGGAGGGACCTGTTAGTTGCAGAGTCCGATGTCACCTGCTAGACGGTTCTCTTGAATCAGTTAAAATGTCTGTTTTTAAAACCCTGATATTGCAGATACTGAGTATCCTCAGAACACATTGAAACACATCTGACTGAGTCTGCTCTCATGTGATTCCTTGTTTACTGTCAACGCTGTAAACCTGCAAACTGATGCTGAGAGATTGTCTCAACCTCTTCTGAGAGGAGACACCTAAGCTTGTTCCTTATGTTCCCAAGTAGCTGTCCATCAGCTGTGGTGGGCTATGCCCCATCCCCCAGCCAACAGCCTGACCATGGTTCTTCACATGCCCATGGCAAACCCTGGAAGCAGGGCTGCATCTGGATTGTTACCTCCAGTGTAAATGATAGGGCTCAATATCCCTGTGACGATGCCTGGTGGACATAGCCTGCGTGGGAGCTGAGGGGTTGCTGTTATGCTCAGCCTTCAGTTCAGTGTCTTGCATCTGTTGCTCACTGTTCGCTGTTTCTCTGCTTCTCTGCTTCTATTAGTACTACCTCAGTGTGTGTTGCATTATTTTCCCTTTGTGTAGGTCCAAGCTGTCCTTTTCCAGTCATTTCCCCTGTCTTAGAGTGGACTTCTGCACTGCAGTTTTCCATTTCCAAGAACAAATGCAACTAATAAAATGTGAGCGAATAATGGCCTTATTCTGCAAATTCACGCTGATACCTCCAATCATATCTGAATCATAGGAGCTTCAAGGGGTTTCAGTGAGTCGACTCTGCCAAATGAAGATAATGATTGTCAGGTCAAATCTTGGGATTGTCAATGCATCAGTGTTCAGACTCCTGTGTATAAAGTGCCTGGCTCAGAGCTGAGTTTCAATAAGTAATAGCAATCTTGGTGCTAGACATAAGCAATTCATTTATTTGTTGTGGTTAGAATTTCCCATGGTCCTGCTTTATCACCACATCAGTCATGAGGTGTTCAATGGCAAGTGGAAATACATGATATGCCAAGTCAACCCAGTATAACTCAAAGAAAGACATTTTTAGCACTGTGACAGTGTTAGTCTGAAATCAAACTATAAGGAATTTTTTAGTGGAAGAAGAGAGTGAAAGCAGGACAGAACATGCTCTGTTATTTTAATACAATTTCTGCTTTAGCCAGTCATGTGGGATAGTGGATTTTTTTAAGGCTTGAAAATTAGTTTCAGAGAATTAAAATATTTTGAGAAATAATTGATACCTTGCTTTGTATAGATAAATGGGCAAATACTCTACGGAAGGACTCATCAGAATGCTTCCTCAATAATCAAATGTGCACCATCTAAAGTAAAAATAATCTTTATCAGGTAAGTTCTGGTTAAAGGTTTGGCTAAAAAAGGTTTATTTTTAATATGCTCAGGTTTTCCACAGTGTTTCTGTTTTAATTTTGGTAAGGTAGATGTGCTTTTGAACCCAGTTCTTAGTAGTTGTAAATATGTCTTGAGTTTTCTGTTTTGATACTCGCATTGTGAGTGCCAGAAATAAAGTAAAAGAAGGGGCTGGACTTAAACGTGTTCTAAGAAATATGGTACTGTATTACTACATTCCTACTACATTCTTAACTGAATCTATTGTAGAAATAAAGATGCAGTAAATCAGATGGCTGTTTGCCCTGCAAAATCAATAGAGGCTTCACAGTGTACTTTAGGGAGTCTTCAACATCAAGAGGTAAAGTAAATTTTTGTTTTTCTCATTTGACTGAGATACTAACATTGTTCTCGATAGAGGATTGCCCTGTCTGCTTAGCAAATAATACAAAAGAAAAAGAAATCCAAGGGAAAAACAAATGAGATTTTAATAAAGCTGCTAAATTTAGTACAGCTATGCTCAATTCTGTTTTACTTTATGTTCACCTAAACTGTGAAGTAAATCTAACATTTCATGTGAATAGGTTTATAGCAGTTTAAATGAATCCAGAAAAAGATCAGACCCACTTTAAATGTTTGTGTGCTACTTTATTTTGATGTAAAATGTTGAATATAGTTGCTCAGAGTTATGTTTTCATTTTCTATTAGATTGATATCAGTGCTGCAAACTCCAGTGCTTGTTCTGACTTCAGTTCACGTAAAAACATTCAGTATGTGGAACTTCCTAAGGTATGTGCTGAAAATTAAATTTACATCAGCCACATTTGTATTCACTAGATTGCTTTTTTATAATGGAGACCCTCTTATGGCAAACAAACTTTGTCCCTTGCTTACTGGAAGTCAGAATAGAGATTTCTAGAGGTCTTCTCTTCCTATTTGTGAATGGACCCCAAAGTTTTCCTGACATAATGACTGTCTTTGGCAACCTCATGAGTCTCTCTAACTTCACATAAATTTGCCAATTGCTCTGTGTCTCCGGAATAAGTCTCCTCTTGTCCTATTTGCAAAACTTTTGGTGCCAGCTGCTGGTGGTGCCTCAGGTAAAATCATTGCCTTAGTTGTTCAAAGTAGATGAATTAGCAGATTATAAGCACCAGATCCCCCAAACAACATGCATATTTAGTGGAAATTGTGCGGCTGGGAGAAAATGGCCAGGTGTTCTGTAACTATAAAGCTCCCAAAGGAGGGTGGAAAAATTGCCGCTCCTGCTTATTGACATGGAGAAGACAGTTGCATTCGGTGGACATAAGGATAGAGACTTGTGAACTGTTGGTAAGTTTTTCTCCTTGGAAGGCATCTAGCCTTCCATTATTAACCAGGAGAATATCTTACAGATGATGGTATCTGGATGATTTAATTCTAGGTCAAAGCATTAGGGAAATTTCACTTGCCACAAACATCTACTAATTTCATGGGAAAAGCATACATTTTTCCATCCTCTGTATTTTCCACTCCTGTGTTTATTTTTTTCTGTGGTTTCAAATAATGAATTTAACCTATATCATGAAGTTTTACTTACCTCAGTTCATAGTTTCCAAGTATTTTGTGTTTCTTACTTATATTTATGAATTTAAAAACTGAATCACAGTTGACCTTGTAAGTTTCAAAGGAGTGGTTCTGAATTTAGAAGTGTTTCAGATTTATCTTGGTAGCCAATGTAGTGTTTGTAGGTTGGCAAAATCTATTTCAGAAATAGATTAGTTTAAAACAAAAATATTGATGCATTGTGAAAACCCAAACTTTTGTTATGTCTGCAGGCCTCACTAGTCTTCAGTATTCTAACATTTTGATAAACACAGTACCTAACCATTTGCATTTTTCTGTTTGCCCCAGGATCAAGGAGGCTTGGGAATTGCCATTAGTGAAGAAGACACAATTAATGGAGTAGTTATTAAGAGCTTAACAGATCATGGTGCAGCAGCAAAGGTGTGAAAACTTTTAAAATCCAAGTAGGGAATGAAAAATGTTTTTTGGAGTAGCATCCAGAGCTCATATTTTTTATTCTGTGTTGTTTCCAGGATGGACGAATCAAAGTTGGAGATCAGATCCTGGCAGTGGATGATGAAATTGTTGTGGGATATCCAGTAGAAAAGGTGCTTCTGAAGTGTCAGGAATGATGCAGAAATCACACCACTTAAAGTAGGAGGTGCTTGTGTCTTAAACAAACCAGTGAGGTTTTCGTGACTATACTCTGACTTCATTTTCAAAGCTGGCTAAAGAACCAAAGATCCGCAGGCATTGTCTGGATAACGAAACTACTGCAGAATAAGCTAAAGCCTGAATTTAAAGCTCAGCTGCTATTTTACGTTAATGCACTACATGAATCGTCTATCTCTGTGCTACAAATGTGATTTTTTTTTTCCCCTGTGGTTCAGATCTGATGACTGAGAGGCATTTAGTTGTGGGATAAAAGCTATGAACTATTGCTCAATAATGACTCTTCATAGCTACTCCACTTTAAAAGTATAAGAACCAGTAAAATTAATACGTTTAAATTTACATGGGTGAGTTGCATCACTGGTAAATCAGGTCATGAACTGTGCTTATACACGCGGAGTGTCTGTAATAACGGCCTCATTATATTCCAAGCCTGGTATTTCAGCCCTTTGGAGAAAACTATCTCCATTCCTAAATAACAAGATTTATTTCTAACTTCTAGCTCTCCAAACTCAATTTGGGTTCTGTAATGAATCAAGGAGGGCTTTTTTCTAGCACCTGCCTTGCTACCAAGAAAAGTGATTTCTTTAGGTATGAGAAGATCACTTTCTGTTTGTTAAAGGGCAATTAGGAGGGCATCCATCTTACTCTTTGATGTGCTGCTATCTCTGAAGCAGTAAATGAGTAAAAGATAGTGAAGTTGTCTGCAGGGAAGTAGGTAGGCTTGGAAGAAGAGACAGAGAGATTGAGTAAGTAATTTCTGAAAATACTTCTGATTCTACTGAAAAGTAAAGTCTCGGCAGGATTTGATGTCTTTACTGTGAGATGGCAATTAATTTTGAAGGTTTTTCAGTATCCCCTTAAACTAGATTTTGCGTTACACCCTAGTGTCCTTCTCTCCTTCCCATAGTTCAGATAATATTTTCAGGTTTTCCTTCCAGCTGTGCGTCTGATTAAGGAGCTAGGATGGCAGTAGCATATTTATTTAAATCAATAGATGTTTTGGCTTTGACTTCTGTGGGATCAGAATTGGGCTCCACCCAAGCATTAAAAGACAATACCGGTTTTCTAATTTTTCTAATAATTGCTATAAACATAGGATTTTGTCCAGAGAAGCCATCAAAAGACTGCCAAATTCTTGTCTGGTATAGTTTGGCGAAGTTTCATGGAAGCTACTTGGTTAACATAAGCCAGGTCTGGCCCACACTTAACTCTATTGCTGTTTCTTATAAAAACCCATCAATATTTGTCCTTGTTCATTACCAAGAAAACCTGCAGGATTGTGACTTGTTGCTCCAGTTTGCAGAACAGTTCTTCTGCTTTATTTTTGTTTTACAACTGAACAGTCCAGTTACAGTCTTCACCAGCTTTTCTCTTTATCATTCAGTTTATTAGTCTCCTGAAGACATCCAAAACTATGGTGAGGCTTACAATCAACTCAGCAGAGACGGATAGCCTGACTGCAGCACCAGTCCCTTCCAGCACTGCCCCAGCAGAGAGGAGGAATATGCAGCCGCCAGCAACTGTCCCTTCTTCAAGCTCACCAGAACCAGAAGCAGTCAAAAGTAGCGTTCTCCTTGTGTGTCTATCTTCACTGGGGTTGTGACATAAAAATGAAGATCCAGCTTGTAAACAAGTTTTCTCTTTTTCTATGCACTCAGCTGTCTTCTGAGTTACACTTTCTAGTACTTATGGATTACAGATCCATCTAAATAAAGCAGTGAGGCTCCACACCAAAGAACTAACTCCTGCCTTCCCACTGGCCTGTTGTAGAGGCGGGAGGATGGAGGGATTTCCTCCTGCCTTCCAAAGGCTGTGCAGCAGGTGCCTCTGTCATGGTTGTCTAGAACTAAGTGGGAGGCATTCCTTTAAATGAGGGAGAAAAGTCATGGCATCTTTCCTAGAACAGGGAAATCATTGAGACTGTCTTGCCATTTATGACTAGCCACGTTTGACTCTCCCCCTTTAGAGTGGAGAGTCAAGGTGCTACTGATGGATGATGGTTATTGGTTAAGCAACACACTACTAAGAAGCTAATAATAACTTAATTGAGTAAAGCACACAACACAGTTAATTTATATGTACATCACTGCAAGTATTACTGAGTTGCATTTCTATTGCTTATTACTAGCAATATTATTGATACACAATTATACTGCTATAAAGAAGTCTTAAGAAACACACGGGAGACCTACTAGGTAGTAAGTCTGTTGTCTTCCCTTCTGCATTTAGTTTTGGGGTAAAATCTATTGCTTTGTCCAAGTCTATCCCTTCCATCTCCACCCTGCCACACCAAGTCTTAGGGATAAAGACCTGATGGAAATTTCAGCAGTGCTCCCTCCAGCATCCTGGGGATTTGTGATTGCAACTTGGCTTCACTACCATTTACAGGCATCCACAACCCAACTGGAAGATCTCCCTCATCTTGGTTCTCCACCTGATTTTATAATTTATTCCCCATCTTTTTTTTACCAAGCCCACCTTTTTGCTGCCCCTGCACCTTGTTTTCTCTGGACAGATTCCTTCCAAATAAACAACCCATCTACTTTTTCCCTATTGGTCTGATTTGTACTACATCTCTACCCAACTTCGGTGTTTCCAGCAGAGCTATGTAGGCAATTTTTGGTCCAATACTGATGCAGCTGTTTAGCTGAGGTCAACCTTGCATACCAAGACTCCCAGTTCTTCAGTTCATGTATTTCATGTACATTTTATGCCTTGTGGACAGAATTATTATACTTAAGCCTTGACTCCCCTACTTAGCTTGAACTAAGCATGAGCAGTTGCTCATCATACAAGCAAAGAATTTGCGTAACAGCAGTAGAGTAACCTGTTCTGTACTCACACGGAGCTTTACACTTAAAAAGTCTTAATTGCCCTTCTGGTTCCCTTCAGAGGACAAGCCTCTTAGTTTTGAGGCTTACTGCTTCTGCAGGACCTATTGGTCACACTATACCTATTTGTCTAACATAAATGAGTATTTCTGAATGGTCAAGTCCTCTGTTAGTTTCAGTGAAACTTCTTTTAATCAGTGCCCTTTTAAAGTGCCTCAAAAGGATTTAGATGCCTGTTTTTACTTTTTGGAAAAAACGTAATTTTGGTGTTTCTTTAAAGCATAGAGGACATCACTGATAGAGAGAGTCTGAACATCCCAGGCATTTTGATTGCTGATTCTTTCCTTTAGTTGCTACACAATATCCCCTTCTCTTCTAGTATTTTTAGCTTTTTTTTTTTTTCTTTGAAGGATACAGAACTAACTGCAATACTGAAGCAAAGATCCATTTGTGACATACAAGAGATACTGAATTTACAGATAAATTGCTACATAAGGATGCCATCCGTATATGTTTGCACTATGAGAATATACCTTTACACCACGAAATTTACTGCTTCCAAAGGTTGTGTCAGTGGCCAGTTAAAAAGTGGACTGGTGTAAAAAAGTTCTTTTTGAGGGCCACTAAATATAATGATGCATGTAAAACTTTTGACTTGACCATGGATTGCTGGACTTGTGAAATACAACTATATTTTATTCATACTTAACATTCTTTCTCATGGTACAGATCTGAGTCTGGGATGGAATATTTTGTTAGATGGACCTTGACTTGACCCATTGCAAAAGTACAGGGCTGACATGAAGTACTGTGTACTTCATTTATCTCTGATCTGCGTTGCATAGTTGCTGGTATAGAAGTTTAAATTAAATTCTGTCCTAAATAGAATCTGTTGCGTACAATAGTTTCTTTGGCTATCCAGACTGTAAGAGTGAATTTGATAGTACAAATACAGCATGTTGTGTGTGATATTTTATCAGTAAACTCAGAACTTTCATCCAGGTACTTAATAGTATAAAAACAGGACAACTGCAAGTAAAACTACAGGATAGTACTTGTCTGAGGAAAAGGGAGAGTTGGCAGCATCATTCTCTGTAGGTCAGCTGTTCAGCTGTTGCTGTAGAGCTGTCAATGAACTCTCAAAATGCTCTTTTAAAGTCACTTTTCTAATACTGAGCCCTCTTACTGTAACCAGGCTGTTTGATTGTTGTTTTAGATACAAGCAGGTCTTCAACTCCAGCCACGTTAGCTTCTGACCCAGCTACTTGTCCCATCATTCCTGGATGTGAAACAACCATTGATATTTCCAAAGGGAGGACTGGTCTTGGTCTGAGCATTGTTGGAGGAGCAGACACTTTGCTGGTTCGTTGGAAAAATATGTGTGTCACTCAAGTGAAATAACAATATTGAAGTTAAAATGTCTGATAGAAGATATTTTTTCTTCATTTGTTCCGGTAGCATTTATAGAAAGATACCAAAGATACCAGTGGGGGGACGGAAGGGAAAGAAAAAGAAAAAGGCACTTTTAAAATTGAAAGTATAAATGAACTTCTTAAATATTTTGGTAATTTGTTCATCATACATCTGACTGTTTTGTTTATCACTGATGAATTATAGTAAGAATTTTCAGTTGCTCTTGGTTCACAGTAGGGGCATGTTCTTTCAGCATGTAGTTTATTTTTGTTTTATTTATCCACAGGGAGCAATCATTATCCATGAAGTATATGAAGAAGGAGCAGCATCTAAAGATGGGAGACTGTGGGCTGGGGATCAGATATTAGAGGTGTGGTGGTTTTTTTGGTCACATTTATTGTCATTTGCTAGCTAGGCATCTTCTATTTGTCTGCTGGAAAGTCCTGCACACTTTATCATTGTATGCTTTCATTGCAGGTGAATGGGATTGACCTCAGGAATGCCACACACGATGAAGCAATAAATGTCCTCCGACAGACTCCCCAAAAAGTTCGCCTGACTGTGTACAGAGATGAGGCCCAGTACAAGGAGGAAGACATGTATGATGTACTCAATATAGAGCTCCAAAAGAAGCCTGGCAAAGGCCTTGGGCTGAGTATTGTTGGGAAAAGGTGTGAATGTACCTGGAGAGTCAATGTCTGGGACTTGCTGGGCATGCTCATGTTTCTGTTGGGGTCTAGTGCTCAGATCCTGTGGGCTTGAAAGTCGTACATGTCATTTTTGTGCCTAAGCTAATTGGCCATTCCTAGAGGAATTACCCCAACTTTACTCAACAGAAAAATGAGACAATGTTCATTGTGTTCCCAACAGCAAGCCATAAAAATGGCCCTTAAACAATACTGTAATGCAAAATCCATGTTTGTATTTGCAGAAATGATACGGGGGTGTTTGTGTCAGACATCGTCAAAGGAGGAATAGCAGATACAGATGGGAGATTAATGCAAGGAGACCAGATATTGACAGTGAATGGAGAAGATGTTCGAAATGCTAACCAGGAGGCTGTTGCAGCTTTGCTAAAGGTATTGGGGAAAAGAGAAGGTGGATAAAAGTGAAGAATTGAGATCCAGATTTTTTGAAGGCTTTAGTTTTATTCAGACTGAGTTCAGACTGTTATTCAGATGTCAGTGAGAATGAGCTGTGGATCCAAATTTAAGCTTCCTGAAGTCTAGAGCATTCAGATTTTGATACTTTGCCTGATGAAAATGGGAGTAGTGGTGGTGCAGAGTGCCATATGTTTATAGAGCAATAGAAGACCATTACCTAGAGCAACCTAAAACTTAACACTCTATTTTCTCCAACAAACTGGTAACTGATTAACTATCTCACAGTTTTAGAAAGATATGCAGAACTGATTTTAAATGATGGAGAATTCATCAGAGTAGTTGTGCCAAAAAGTGATTACTTTAACAGTTGATAATGTTCATCTTTTCTTTTTTTTCTGCGTATGTCTAGTGTCACCTTACATCCATTAAATGCATTTTCCAGTGACCAAGGCATATAGTATAAGAAATTTCTTTCTCACAAAGATAACTGAAGTAAACTCCTATCTGCAGCTCTTGGAACCAGAATTCCTGTTCTCAATAAATTTTGTGCTTCGGATGTCCTCCCCCTATTTCCAAATCAGAATGAAGTCAGATATATAACATTTCTTGTGGTCTGGCAGAAAGTCCAGCTGGTCAGCCAGCCTGTCTGTTTTCCATCCAGAGTTTTGAGACATTCCTGCTGCATGGTAAGGATTCCGTCGAGTCAGCATTTTCCAATGGAAAACCGGATTTTTTTTTGCACTGGAAAAAATTTAACAGCCACTACTCATAGCTGACTCTTGGATACATAGACACACAGTCATGCTTCTTTGCACTCAGATGTAAAGGTATATTTTTCCAGGTCTTGAACAGTTCCTTGAGCTTTTTTTTTTTTTTTTCTTCTTTTGGGGAGGTGGCGGCGGGGGTTAGAAAGGGGAGGTAGGAGCACTTTTTCTGTATTTTCAGCCTGTGCCCATAAGTGAGAATGCCAGAACTGGTCTGTGTTGTGGTAGTGAACCCGTTAATATACTCTTCTGGGGTAATAGTACTTTTCCGTTCTTACCTGATACTTTATTTTATCTGAGGACAGTGCGTTTCTTCTTCATATGCTGCACTTTTACATCTCCTCTAAATAAAATTGCCATTTTATGTGGAAAGTTTCTTTTATTTTGGCAAGCATTTTGGAGTAACTGACTGAAGATTCTTAGTTCCCACTTATCATTCGTATATTCATGTTTTAAATACTTCATCCCACTTAGTTGTACTTGTAATTAATTGTCCTAGCCCTGATAAACGAGGCTTTTAAAATACCTCAGATATATTATTGTTAATGATTCTGTTTTGTTCATGCAATATAAATGGAGTAAAGCATGATCACTCACGTATAGGCAGTCACCATTTTTAGTTCAGGTATCAGTTCTGTTTTCGTTCACGAGAGTAAGATCTAGGAGCGAATTGTCTTGAATTGCCTGAGATGTATTTTGCTAGAAAATTATTTATAATCTTTGGAAAATCCCAACGTATTTTAAGTAGCATGAGACCACTAGGATGTGTCGTCAGGCTGAGAATTCTGCCTGTTCTTGCAGTGTTTCTTTTTAAGTATCCCTAAAACATGTGAAAAGCTTATCATTTTTTCCCCTCATTTGACTTACGGATTTATCAAATGGGACATTAAAGGAAGAGAGAAAAAGCTGTAATAAAACTAAATGTGAATTGATTTATTCACAAGTTCAGTTGGAAAGTATTGCTTCTCGCTTTCACACATTATAACTTCTAAATCTCATTTGTGGGTTTGCATTTTATGTGAGGATGTGGTAATTTTAGATGCATAGATTACTTCCTCAGTTTTCCATTTTGGATAAGAGTTGTCTGTATGGTTTAATACGAGTCAGTTCATACAAGCAGGAGAGAATGATTTTGCCTAAGCCCTGATCAAGTCTTTCCCAGGACATAGAGAAAAGTCAACATTATTTAAAAGATAAAAAGCAATTTAGTAATAAATCTCTTTTAGTGTCACCCGTAAGAGAATAGCAACAGGATATGAGGTATGGAAATCGTGTTTGAATGGGTATGTCCTGTTGTTGGTTTTGATATATTGGTCTATTTCTTACTGTGAATTTTCTGACAAATACCTGAACCTCTCTTAGGGTAATGCAGCTAAAGCATGATAAATGAAGGCAAACTTATGTAGTATTAAGTTCTTTGGATACAGGAGTTCATACTAACAACTCCCATGGAACAAAGAAGAAAAAGCAAAATAGCAACAAAACTTTGAAATTTCTGTATGTGAATACGTTGCAGATAGGTGGTCTTCTTTTGACACTACTTGTGTTACTTCGGAAGTCCAGTTTTCTAAATGTTGTTTGTGATGATAACTTACCTATCTGTTTCCAAAATCAGCCTAATGTCTTGGTTTCTAAATATTTGATTGCAGGCTGAATTTTCTTCTGAGACATGCATTTTATGCAGACATGTAAATACTCAATAGTATAATTAAAAGCTTAAAGAGTAGTGGAAGGATCTTCCGATGTGCAAACAGTCCATATGACCCAGCTTCCTGTTGGGAGTCAGATGCAGAAAGGTCACTTAAACTATAGATGGATGTTTGGAAAAACATCCTGCCCAAAATTTCTTTAGTTACATTGGTATGGATCCAGAGTAACAGATAATTTCAAGAGTGGGAGAGAGATGACTACCTACCAGTTTGAATACCGTGTTCTCAGTCATATCAACAGAAATAATGATTAATACTTTGAGATGTGGTACTGTTTTTAGTGCTTATTGTGCAAATAGTCAATTTCACTATTCCTTGAAAAATGCCATCTTGAAAATATATGTTGACATTATAATTGAGAAACCAAAACTACTCCCTGTTAAGTGAAAGGTAACAGAATTAATCTTCCTGTGTAGTTTTCACACCTGTATTGTAATACTGGTTAATCCAAAAAGCACCCTGTGCAGTATTGAATACCATGGTGTACTTACTTCGTGTGGCTCTGATCCTGCCATGAGCTCTGTCTGCTCAGTGCTCATCGCAGGGTTGTTAGCCTGTTATTTTCCCCTCTGTCCATATTTTTTTCATCTTCCACCATCTAATAAGTGACTTAAATATTGTCACAGGCTTTAATGTTGTAGACAGAAGAGATGTGTTATAAATGACTGGTTCTTTAGTGTTCATTAGGTACGGTAAGACTAGAGGTCGGAAGAATAAAAGCTGGTCCATTCCACTCTGAGAGGAGAACATCCCAGAGCAGCCAGGTGTGTAACTGTAAAAGTGTTTAGTTTGGAAGAAATAAAATGTGGTTAAATAATGAAAGCAAATAAAAAGATTTGTGTTTATGATGACAATGATTTTCCACCTACCTGATCCAAGGTGAAGAAAAGTAGGAGTTTTTATGTACTTTGCAGCTTTTCGGTAACCATTTTATATGTTCACTTTAGCACATTGTATCTGTTAAAGACATGGTCCAGCCAAAAATGTGTTCCAGAAATGGCTTTGCTGTGTTGCCTCGTCTGGTTTTTATGGCTCCAGCCTGGGAAGCAGAGAGCTCTGATTCTCATCAATATCAGAAGAAGTTGGAGTGAACTTTAAACCTCTTTGTTACTTTAGGAGTGCTTGGTATGCAACGGAGTATTGTTTCTGTAAACGTAGTGAATTTCTTCACTCTGCATATTCTTACCATAATCTTGGTCATCAGAAGCAGGAAACCTGCACCCTTTCCATTAGGCTTCTCTCAAGTTTATTTATGTTATTGTTGGTCTAATGGTGGAGCATTACAAACTCACATCAGTTTCTGCATTTGAATGCATCCTTCATGTGATAGCAGCTCACATCGTGATTGTCTCCAGTAGGAGCTATGTTTCTGAGAGCTCACAAGTTACCTTAGAACTTTCTCTGGTTATAAACTGGGTATGTAGATCGTTAAGTACTGAAGATAAATAGTTTTAAGACAAATCATAATTAAACAGTTTCCAGTGAGCAGGGTAAGACTGTATAGGATTGAAATGTTAGGCTCTCTTCAAAATGGGTAGTGCCAAACAAGATGAATACATGCGGGCTCTGGATGGTCTTAATCTAAGTTCATAGAATCATAGAATCATTAAGGTTGGAAAA